GACCAGAATATCGCTGGTAAAAAGTCATTTATTAAACTTACTTTTCTAAAACAATGGCTCATGTTGCGTGTCTGCACATGTTTATTGACACAGCCGGTGAAATATTAAACAAAACTCGCTGCATTTACGAGAAAAAACTTAAAATCTTCAGTTAACATCAAACATGCACGAGGGCTGGACACAGGAAGTAGAGGAAGTCCGTCACCAAATACGCCTCCCGCTCGCAGCCCTTTGTATAGAAAACGATTGGTTCCGTTTTTTTGGCGCACAAAATGTAGAAGGTATTTAAACACTCGATTGTATCTAATACGATCTAATAAAATAAAGTACTCAATTGTAACTGGGTTACCTAATCCATTAACATTCAAACCCTATAAAAATGGGTGGAAACTATTAAATCAAGATCATCCAACAGAAACAAACAATTTGGTTCTGTCAATAGTTTTCACCATGCATATATTTTTAGATCAGCTTTTTATTCAAACAAAAAGTTAAAGTTGTTCAATCCTCACGCAGAAGCTCAGACCTCAGACAAGTAGGTCAGTTATCTCTAGTTGATGTAATACCCTATAAAACTTTAAGTACATACAAAACTATAAAAGTACTAATAAGTACGGAAATTAGATGTTTTTTGTAGAAATGTCATGACGTGAAACAAGTCATACGTTAATAGTATATTTAAGTTTCGCTTTTTAAAGATATATTTGTTTAGCATGTTGTTGCCTGTTAACATTCAACATTCTTTAAAGATTATAATGGAACAAGGATAAGAAAAACTACGGTGGCCGAGCGGGGTCACAACAAATACAAATTGCCACAACAAATGCAAATGCTAAAACAAATACAAACGCCACAACACACAACAACTTTGAGTACAACACAACAGCTTTTAAGAAAGCACAAACACAAAACTTAACGAACGTCAAACGGAAGTGACCGGAGAAAAACGGAGTGACCGGTAGGACTGCAATAGTCGACGGACGGCATGTGTGGACGCTAGTGGAAGAGGATTAGAAGTTGGAAAACGTAAGTTATAGTAAGATATTGCTTTGTAACCTGGGTCGATGTCACTTTCTAACTGGCATAAATTAAATCACTATTGTTAGGTTCAACTTGTAACGCTGTAATTGCATTCCATGACTTGGGGCAGTGCGCTAATGTTACAAAAGTTTAATGCAGAAACGTCGTTGGACCTTCGTGACATGATCCAGGTGTCCACTTTCGATTACAATGTATTGTCCCCCCCCCCATTTTTGCGGTTCGGGAATAAACCCCGAAAACGACTTACTGTTAGTTCGTGGCGGAAAGAATATAACATTTCCTGCGTGATGTCAAGAAAACCAAGCACAAGTCAGGGTAATGTTTACAATTTTGCTATATGTCACTTGAGACATATGTGTATCTATATTGTAACGGTCTCAGATTTCTTTTTTATTCTAAATCGCTGTAATAGAGTTGATTGCCTCTGTTTGATGCAGGAGCATAAAGAAGAGGGTGGCACCCTGGAGTCGTCCGGAATTTCAGGTTATCAAAAGAGAAGGAGAGGCAATTAAGTACAAAAAATTTCAAAAGAAAAAAGAACCGGAAGAAACTTGCTGAAGGTAACTTCATTTGTGTTTGTACGTTAATGAGCTTGTTTGGTGTCAACTTGCCATGTATTCGTAGTGTGTAATATAAAAGTGTAAGTCAGTGGATGCTTTACAGAAGCCTTCTTCCGTTGTTTCGCTGTAGAGTTCGGTAGGCCTTATGCGACTGAAAGATGGAGTCTTGAGTCATGGAGGAATGACACTCCCCCTTTCACTCAAACCAAACAGCTCAGATGCCAAAGATTGCAAAACAATTTTGGGGCGCACTGCAAAATTGAGGCTTCAACAAAAACTTACCTCCTGGTCACCACTTCTGGTGTATCCTGATGGTACACAGATAGTAAATGAGTACAGGAACAACACCCATTCTCTGTATACAGTATACAAGGAGGCAGTGGGGAAAGCGTACCAACGCATCACAGTGTCCATTTGTACAGTTTGAAGATTTCATGGACTGTTGTGAGTTAACCGAGACTAATTGCCAACCTGGAGGAGCACTCTGGGATAGGTTCATGCTTTATATAATTGTCCATATCTGAGTCTTGAATTTACAGCTCAGGGAGGCCACCACCAGATTCCGAGGAGTCCGATTCAGAGGTGATCATCATGAGCAGTAGTGAGACGGCGTTCAATAGACCTTTTTCACACTCCGTGTTTTAAACCGGATGTGGAGTAAACCAACTTCCGGTGTCTTTGCTTTACGTTCAGAGACACGTCAGTATGCTCAATCTCTCCGAGCTAGTTTTGCTCTGTTCCAGGTTGCTCTTGTGGAGCAAGAAAACAACTATTTATCCTTTTTCATGCTTTTTCCGCTCGGACACGGACTCAGTAGAAGGCAGTGGATCATAGCAGTTAGGAGAGACGAGGGTCCCCTGTTCACCATAAGACAGGAGACACTATTGTATGCAGCCGGCACTTCACACGGAGGATTATCTCACAGGACTCAACCGTCACGCAGCCTTAAAAAGTGGAGCTGTTCCATCTCTCTTCCCTGGAATAATTTTATGTGCACCACTAAGAGGGAGTCAGCATTCCAGAGGCTCAGAAACGTCAGCTGTCCTTTCAGGAGAGTTAGCCAGGTGAAGCTGCACTGCCGAACATGATTTGCGCACATCCACCCCCAGGTAAATATGCTAATAATATCTGGTTATGTAAAAATTTTATTTAGCATATTTGAGTCAATATTTATAACTATGAAACAATAAATGCTTCAGTGTCTCAACATGTTTGTGAACAAAATTAAGCAGTGAAATAAAATACAATATTTAGGACTGTCTGTGTAATTGGTATATATATAATTATATATATATTACATTATGGTTAGACCTTTTAGGTATTTATAGCAACTTTTTTGGTTTTACAGGTGCGCTTGATAAAGCCCATGAGACAATCCAAGGAGTTGGAAAGCCAGGTGGAGAGAAGATGGATTTGTCTCCCAGCACCACTTTTTAGTTAGTTATTGCTTTTCTGATGGACCAGATCGGTTTTTACACAAATTCCCATCTAAGAGTGTGTTCAGGTTCTTCTGGGAGTCCATTGCCCTCTGCATCCCGTTAGTGTACTGGACCAGAGCCTCAGAAAATTGGAGATAAAGAAGTTGCTGAACCAAGCCCTGTTGCGCTGCATGCTCTATTGATGAGTTTTTAATGTACTATTCAGGGTTGCGTGGGAATGAAGGAGCAGTCATTGCTGACATGTTTAAGTGAGCATTCTACTGTCAGCCGGTGACCATCACATGGCCAACTACTTTTCATTGTGTTACGTCAATTAACATGTGGATTAGTGGGAGAAGGTGAAAAGCCAGGCATGCCTCAAAGATTTGTGAAGCGCTCTCCAAATGTGCGTGTCATCCTGGACTGCACAGAAGGTGCTTAGAGGGGGCTTCTCAATAATTTCCAGTCTGAACCTTCTCTGCGTACAAGAAACCGCACCACTCTGAAAGGGCTGATCAGAGTTGCTCCATGGGTTGTGACGTTTATATCACAGCTTGTACACTGGCTGCATCTCCGACAAGAGATCACTAAACCCGTGAATTCTTCCGCTTTTGTTACTGGATCCAGGAGATGAAGGTCATGGCAGATAAGGGCTTCCTCATTCAGCCTCCTTGATGAAGTTGGGCCAACTCACAAATGCACCTTTTCGACATCTTGGTCAGTTTAGCAGAGAGAGATGAGGAGAGCCCAAGCATTCTCGTCTGAGAATTATTGTCGAAACAGGCAATAGCCCAGAATCAAGCACTACCACATCTGGGATTCTCCTGTGCCACTCACTGGTAATAGGAACGTCAATCAGATCTGGCACAATGTTGTGTTTTGGCTAATTATCACGGCCCATTTTGTTGGAGAATAAGGTTCATCTAAATCTTTATGTGTCTGTTTCAGCTAGCGACAAATTTTTTGAGATGTTTATTCCCCATTTTAAAACAACTTGGCAGAATTCAGTATTTTTTGTTGTTATTGTGGCTTGATTGTGTTGATTCAAGGGGAAAACAGGTGAAACTAAAATAGCAAATGATAGTGGTTTATGTTAAAATGAAATTGTAATTCTCAAATAATTTATTGGTAACAAAACAAGGCTGGAAATATTTTTTAATAAATCATACAGGAAATAAAAGAAGACATTAGTATAGTTTTGAATACTTATACCTCATCAACTTCCTTTCAGCTGCAGGCACAGGTCATTACGACTAGGCCAATTTCATGGTTTTGTTTTGCTATGGTCATATATTCAATTTTTGTGACTAGATATTTAAATGATCAAAAAAAGGGAATGAAACAAAAAAGGGGATTTGTGAATCATTAGTTACTGTATATTGACATAAAACATTCATAAGGTGGTAAGTAAAACATGTCCAAATTTTGACTTCATCTGTCAATTAAAGATTCATCCCGCCCACACTCGCTTACGGGTATAGTTGTCATTGTGTCTTGTGCAAAGTCGCACCTTCCCCCACACTGTTTACATGCAGCGGTTAGAATTTCGTTCTTCTGTATTTAAGGTATGTTATACAGTTTTAGCACGTTCTTAAGCTAAAAAAAACAACTTCATTTTAATAAAAGCAGTGAAAAAACAATTGTTTTGGGGGGAGGGATTTTTTTCTTAATGTTTATCGCAACGTTTATTCAAATGGGCGCCATCAAAAAGACTGCTTTGATAGTTCTAGTAGTTTCATAATTGTGCAAGTCCTGGTGTTAAAAGATACAGCTGCTTCTTTGCAGATTTTGTTTATTGTTGGTTGTTTTCAGAGCGTTACCCCCATGATAAACGAGGGGACACTCAAATATTTCAAATATTAATTCTGCTATGTTTAATCGTCTTCCTCAAACATGTCTGAAAGTTGCAATATGCATTTTTAGCAGCAAACTGAGATGAATGTATTTCTTTTTCAAATTCAGCCTCATGAGGTTGGTAACCATGCAGATAGCTCACATCGTGGAACATGAGGGAAAGGCAGGACTTACAGTAAACACCGCCTACACAATGATTCACATTGGAACTCAATCTGCTGCTGCCGTAAGAACAAAGGGGAGGGCAGAGATGCAGATGTCAGGCATCTTGGAAATGTAAACATTGCGAATACAAGAAAAGAGGAACATTAATATTCATATTCAAAGATGCAGGGAGGGCAAAGACAAAAGCTCAGATGTGCTCCAAGTTCTCCAACCATACACTAAGAATAGCTGTTAATGATTTCCTTTACAGATGGTATATGTCACTGGTTTAGAGTTACAGAGACAGACAATCTGAATCATTGGTTTGTATAAGCCAGCATTTAGGCAAGGCAAGTTTATTTGTATAGCACAGATCATACACAAGACAACTCAAAGTGCTGAACAAAACAACAATGCAATGCTGTTTTTAACCTGGATCTAAATATTGTCGGAGAAGAAGCCTGTCTCACATTTTCAAGAAGACTATTCCAGATTTTAGCTGCATAAATCTGAAATAATACCTCCCCATGTTTAGTTTAGCATTCAAGTTAGACGTGTTTGAAACTATTGCCAAAATTAACTCTCTCCTGTTAGTATAACCATTTGAAATTTTGATAACGTATTTGGCGCCACCTGTATATGAAAGCAAGATCCAGTCAGACCTCCGGAGCTAAACAGGGCAGGGCCTGGTCAGTACTGTGATGGGAGACCTCTGGCGGCGGCAGCAATAAAGTGACAAACTGTCATCGTGTCCTTTGGCAAGACGCTTCGCCCACATTGAGTATGAGTGTGCCATGTGAAGTCTCTTTGAGAGGCAAAAGAAAGAGCAGTATAAAACCGATGTATTACTATGTTACTAAATCAAAGTCGAGGGCTTGTCTGCTTAGAGAAGAGTTTGCAAATTGATCATTTTCAAAGAGGGTAAGTCTACCTGCAATACTCCATGGCAACTACAGCAAACCCTCACCAGGACCATAAATAAAACACATACAACACCTGTTATGGCGAGTGTTCGGTATCTCACCCACACTATAATAACTAACTTCACAGCGGTTATCTATTCAAACAGATGGTTGACATTGAGGCAAAGAACACTCACTCGGCACACACTCCTCAGACACCAGTAAAAGTGCAGCACTCGGAAAAACAAGATATATCACCAACTCCCTGAACCAATATTTGCTGCAATGACTTAAGTACACGGCCATTTCTCTGGTATTCCACTGTCAAGATGTTTTATTGTACACAATGTGGCCATACCTGCATGTGAAAGCCAGGTCTCGTCACACCTCTGAAGCTAAGCAGTGCAAGGCCTGGTCAGTACTGTGATGGGAGACCATGGCTGCTGCATAATTATAATGAGCACATTGTGTCCTTTGGCACCCACATTGCCGAGAAGGAGTCTGGTGTGTGTGTGTGAGCGAATGGTTGGTGGTTGCTTCTAGTAGTGGTGAAACATCTTTGAATGTCCAGTCTGCGCTAAAAAATCTTCATATAAACATCTTTTTTTCAGAATCTGTATTTCAAATTGGTCCATATTTTAAAAGAATGATGATGATATGTTTTGTCAAATTGAATATGACAATATCCCAATGTGGCCTCTTGAAGAAAATAATTGCCCATGCATGATCTAGAACAGGACGATATAATTGGGGTCTTTTCTTATTGATAGTGTTAACTTCTGTTGTCAAAGTGAATTCCAACATGCTGTCTACACAATCACAGACAAACATGATTTAGGGTATTTTCTGTTAAAAGAAAAAGAAAGAAAAAGGAAACGTCGCCGCTGGAGCCCTGTCCAATTTGATTCTCAGTCGATACTCGAGCGTGAGCCTGGAGGTGGCTGTGATTGCCGCGTGTTTTGATCCAGAGTTTGAAGTGCTGTTTCCCTTTTCAGCTACAGAGGAAAAGACACATAGGCAACGACATAGTAGCCATCGTGTTCCAGGAGGAAAACACGCCTTTCGTCCCAGATATGATCCAGTCCAACTTCCTGCACGCGTATGTGGTGGTGCAGGTGGAGAACCCCTGCTCGGACAATGTGCTTTACAAGGTCAGTTTAAGAATTCATGAACATTTGAACATAACTTAAAATTCACTTGCTATTTGCAGATTTATGTATGTATTTTTTATTTATTTCAACAGTATATTGACTCATTGACTGCCAGCCGTTTTTGATTATTTACATGTAATTGACTTTCAAGACCCACAGAATATTATGTGCTATGATTTTGTGAAATATGAAACCAGATTCTGAAACACTGGATTGTATACTTTCATCAGCAAAAATATGTTTGTTTTTAGCTATTTTTGTTGTCCTGTAATCCAGTGTTTTTCAAACTTTTTTGAGCCAAGGCACTCTTTTTTTCATTGAAAAAATCCCGCGGCACACCACCAGGAGAAAATGTTAAAAGATATACCCTCTAGCCCAGGGATACCCAAAGTGGGGCCCGCGGGCCAAAGTTGGCCCACCTCCGCTGTAAGTTTCTAACTGCGTCCCTCAACCTCAATGAACAACAGTGACATGTCTGAGATCGCGCGGGCGCACCAAAGCCCTCTGAACGGAATCTGTCCAGTACTTTACTGTTGTATGGAGATACACTCCTCACTCATGGTTCACATCTACTTGCACTAAAATGTTTTTTAAAATCAAACACATCTTTTAAAACAATTGGGTGCAAGGCACCTTTATGTTCTTTTTTTTCAGCCTACTATTATTATTTTTTGGAGCTATTTAATGTTTTATCAAATTGAGAGGATTGTGCTGCCGAACTGCCACTCCCCCTCCTCACCGGAGGGAAATGGCGAGTGGCACCTGCGCAATCCGCACCCACCCGGTGTGTTAAAAAGGACGGACACAAACACAGTGAGTTCAAGCAGGACAAGCAGGGATCGCATAGCGCACGATCCACGCAAGTAGAAGCAACAAATACTGTGCAAAACAAGCCCTTCTACAACCCCATGACAGAAGCCGGTAAGCGCCGTCCTCACTCGCGATCATTGAATGTCAGACAGAACTTAGGCCTGTTTCACACCGCACGCCGAGCGCAGAGCCGAGCGCCCTTTCCAGCCGAACTACCTCGCGGCGAGCGCATGTATTCAGACTGAAACGCCGAGCGTGGGCGAAGCGCCTAGACGAGTAGCACGCACAAAAGGAGTAGTATTGTACTCCAAACTAATAAACATGTTGTATATTTACATATGTTGTCTGAAATAACAGGTCAGAAATCAAAATAGCACATGTAGACCTTAAATAAATTGCTAACATTTCCTTATAATGTATCTTATAGCCTATTTTGATTGTCGTTTCATTATCATAGTGTGGTGTTGTTTTTTGTGTATTGGACCTGCCCATGTCTTGAATGTAAAACCCTCGTCACTCCCCCTTCCCCCAAAACAGAACAGGTTTAACCTTTGGCCAGAAGCCTAGTCCTTTAAATAGCGTGTACCCTCCTATCACATGAATACAATCACTTGTTTCACTGTTTTGGAGTTCGACTTTATGCATGCGATGTTGTGAACACAATACATACCTAGCATGGCTCCAATAACCTGCCAGGTTCTTTCGAATATCTTTGTAGTTTGGGTGTCCTTTACTATACAATTCGGGGAAGCCCTCCACGGCCTCGATGATGCGTATGTCATCCATCTTCACATGTGCTTTTGTTTTCGTGAAAGGAAAGAAGTCTCCGCAGTGTCACATCATGTCACGTGACACGCATACTTCTATCTCCTGGTTAATACTAAAGAAATACTAGAATAATTATAAGATTGGAATAGAACTGTTATGTCGCCTTGAAATTACAATTATATTTTATGCATAAAAAAAAAAGTATGACATGGAAAATTGTGTAATTAAAAGAATAAACGTATATGTACTTATGCATTACAATAATGAGATTAGATAAACGTGAAATTGCTTTATAAAAGATATTTTTTGAATATTTTCGTGCTGAAAGCCGCTTCGCTGCGCAGCCTACACGCGGAAAAAATGCGCTCGAGTTCCATTTTTGGTTTCAGGAGCGGAGGCGGCAGCGGCGCGCGCCGATTCCCTGCGCGCCGCCTCGGCGCATGTCTGTACACAGAAGAGCTTTCTCATTTGCACAACAGGACGCGACTTGAAGCGCAGCTTGCGAATGCACGCGAGCGGGTTTCGAAGACGAATTCGTTCACGAATTCGTGTGCGGTGTGAAACAGACCTCACGCGGAGTTTTATGATGCGTTCAAGAGCCCTTTGGAAGAGCGGAAACTCGGACTCTTTAACAGTTACTTTGTTTTGATTGTTTATAAATGTTGTACTGTGTTTAGGCAAAACAAAACAAAACTCCAGGAACAAATCATGGTTAACTAGTCTGATTTTGTTAGTTTAATATTCAGTTTACTACTAATTGAGAATACTTGTCCTATGTTAAAACAGAGTTAAAACCTGATCATGTTTAGAAAATACAATTATTAGCAATTATGTTCCCAAATTCATTACTTAATGTTAAAATGTATTGTTTAAAAGTGTGCTAAAACCAGATCTATTGATCAGTGATGTCTCCCCTTGATAAAAGCTAAGATAAAGTAATATGATTCAAATGTAGTTAAAAACTTTTGTTCAAAATAAATATATGAAAATAGACTTGGAAATTGCTTTGGCTCAGTGCAACAGAGATAATAAAAATAAAGAATAAAAAACACTTCTAAGGAATACATTTAAATTTAAAATAGAGTTACAGTTACTATTTACAATATACAAGTGCACATGGTGCACACAAAATGTATGTTTCTGTTCTCTTTTTGAGGTTTTTTATATGATTTTAACCTTTAAATAAGCCATGACAGAAAATCTCCCTCCTCTGGACCCTGATTACCCGGCCGGAATCTTTCCGTACTGTAGTCTCCTCAAACCTGCATATTTCCCTGGAGCCTCCACTTCACTAAGACTGTGTTGATTTCATTCATTCAGCTGTGATTTGCACTGATAGACAATACTTAATGCATTTAAAAGAACTTGATCAAATCTACATTTATTTGTGTTTCATGCATAATATTGGTGTATTTGGCCCGCGGCCCACTGGCAAATTTTTACTTTGGCCCTTGGAAGCAAAAGGTTTGGGCACCCCTGACATAGACTGTATATATTATTCTCCAGTGAGATTACAGCATATTGTGACCTGATTTGTACTTTTACAAAACCCTTTATGTGGGGAATAAACAACATGCGTACCTAGAGAAGAATCTGTAAATTACACACACATATACCTATAAATTACACACACACACACACATATGTATATATATGCATATGTATATATATATGCAGCCCACATGAGAAAAGTAGAAGAAATTCCTTAGTGATGAAACGTCTGTTTTTGGATATTTTATTCATTTACCGCCTCTGATCAATATTGTGACACATCATCAATAACCCATCACGCTTTTCCTTCCAACCAGAAAATCAATCAAGCTAAATTTATTTCCACTCATATGGTTCCCTTTGCGCAGTTGATTTGTTGGCTCACAAATGTGTACCGCATTTTAGTGTAAATAAAGCTATTATCCACAAAGACTACACACACTGCATCCACTAATTACAGTGTTTACAAAGTCGATGTGAGAATATTCTTTCTGGAATGGTCTTCGCGGGTGGTTACTATGACATCAGGCAGTGTGCAGTAATTACTCACAATGACTGCAATTTTGTGTGAAATACTGAGCTTTCCGTGCCTTTTATCAATAAACAGGAGAATAAAAAAGGGTCAGGACAGTGGAGAAAATATAATGGCTCATTTATGTAATGCCATTAGGCTTTCATCTGGCAAATTCTGTCACTTTCAAACAAATTAGGTGTATGCACCTTAAGCCAAAAAGTACAGATTTATTTTTTGTTTTTCTTTTGTCTTCCCCTATTGTTATTTTGGCTATAATACATGAGTGAAACTTCTCTTAAGTCCCTCCCACTGTTACTGCCACATTATCAATGCATTATTTTGCTTTTTAAGGGCGATAGTGGCTCTGTTGGTTGAGCATTGGCCTTTGGGCCTGAAGGTTATGGGTTCGAGCCAACCTAAATACCTACTTCACGACTCCCACTGATGTCTGCTGTTGTTGTGTCCTTGGGCAAGACACTTAACCCCACTTTGCCTGAAGTCCCTGCTGAAAGATCAATGCTCCTTTGGACTCACCACCTACAGGAGGATCAGTGAGGGGCTGGTGAACTGGGTGCAGCTCTGACTGCCACCCCCTGACTCAGAAATGGATTAAGGGGAAGAAAATGGATGGATGGAGGTAATGCCAAAGTAAGTAAGTTTCTACTTTTGGCACAGCTCCAGACCCACTGCTGTAGATTACACAATGCAGCCCAAAATGCTTTAAATAGAAGTAAGAAAAAATCAAAGCCATGATAATAAAGACGAGTGGACGAGCGCTCAGTCACACAGCGGCTCAGTTCAGGGGGATGCACAGATCAACTTTTCATGAATGGCCGACTCCATTAGGAGCAGGTCAAATATGGTCATTTCTTGTGGGCTCCAGCTGTGTGCGGTTTGCCAAATTCAGTTTAATCGTTTGTTAGTCTCAAGTTAGTTCATTTTCACATAACACAAAGTCTAAATGGATTAATCATTCTTCCTTGTTTCTGTCTCCACAATCTTCACTCAAATAACGACAAGAAAAGATCACCTATTGTCAGATTATGTTTGTCCTTAGAGCTGGGGTACCTATAACTTTCAGATTGCAAAAGTTATTACGATGAATAAGATGCATCTCATTCTGGGCTCATACTGGACATGTATTATTAGCCTCTGCCATATAGATCTGCTTCATCACACACCACCTTCACTCAGCCTAAACACTCATATAGTGACTTACTGGGGTTTTTCTTACAAGTATGCAGAAGACAATACCGTGGGCGGCACGGCGGCTGAGTGGGTAGCACTCTCGCCTCTCAGCAAGAAGGTCCTGGGTTCGAATCCCGGCTGGACCAGGACCTTTCTGAGTGGAGTTTGCATGTTCTCCCCGTGTCTGCGTAGGTTTCCTCTGGGTGCTCCGGTTTCCCCTACCACTAAAAATATGTACAATAGGTCTGGCATGTGCCTCCTGTTATGGCACCCCCACTCCCAAAAATGTGCAGTGAAAAGACGGTATATAAAGAAAGATTACTACAACAAATAAATCACAACAGCAGATAGCTCTGAGGACAAACCTGTTGAATCTGCCAACACAGATCAGAGAATCAAACAAAGAAAGGCTATGATAGAAAACATACAGATGACCAAGAGAAACCTCAGGGAGTCCCACATTGATGGACGGATTATTAATGTAAGAGTCAGGCTACAGCGCGAGGACCGAGGCCACACGATGGAGGACAGGCTCCCAGGCGAGGAGAGGGTGCAGTCCAGGAGTCAGGCCGGGGAGGGCAGTCCACAGGTGCTGAAGGAGGTCTCATCATAAAGCCATGAGGCAGACAATGGGACAGCGGGGATGAATATGAATACAAAACCTTTATTGTCTTTGGTTGTCACCTTAAAATACATGCAAAACACACATCCAGCAAAACATGATGTGGCACTATATTAACAGTACAATTGGACACCAAAAGGTAAGACAGACTACAACTGAAGTATAGTGCTCAAGGTACCATACTTCTCCCCGAGCAAATGGCCTCGATATGCAGCTTAACTGACAATCTGTGTCACAGACAGAAAACTCCCCAGTGACTCTCTGTGGCATCAGGGCCTCAAACTCATTTGGCTCAGGGGCCAAAAAGAGTTTAGTCGTTTGGTGGTTTTCTTAGTTCGGAAGTTACTTCTTTTGTTTGATTATTATTATTTGGGTATATATCAGCGGAATGTCCAATTACACTTTGAATCAAATAAATTGTTTTATTTGTTTGTTTGTTTTTTGAACAGGTTGCCGTCAATCAATCAACTTGCTTCACATCCCAGCCATTATCACTCAAGGCATTCAATCATAAACATCAATATCACACAGGGCATTAAAATACACATTAAAATCACAAGGCTGCAAGGGAATCATAACTATTGAAAATCTCTTCAAGGGCCTTGTGTTTGACACGTACAGTACATCATTCTACTCTATTGATTTAAATATGTTTTCCCCCTTGTTTCAGGTGTTTTATTGCTCACAATTAACATGTACAGTATGTTTAAAGCAAGGCATGGTCTTTGAACAACCATATAAAAATAAACAGTAACAAGACACATCCTACTGAAGAGAAAGATTTTAGAAATTACTCCTTAATATTCTAATAAGTTTCCTTGAATAAATCTGGCACATTGGGCATTTCTGGTATAAATTATCAAGAGCCGTGTGTTAGGCATGCCTTCCATATGGCCCAGAGGTACTGTTATTGAATATTTAGTATACAGGTCAAAAGTGGTTGCCTTGGGCCTACAGTTTTATGGAGCATAAACAGTAGCTCATATGAAACTCATGTTTAAAAGGCATAAAATGTATTCGCTTGAGCTGTAAGAATAGACTGTACATGGTCGGCTGTGGAAGGATGGTGGGGATTATAATAATATGAAATCTATGGCATAATTCTGTATATTCAGGGCCTCTACTTTACGAAGAAACTAAACAATTTACAGTGCCTTGCGAAAGTATTCGGCCCCCTTGAACCTTTCAACATTTCGCCATATTTCAGGCTAAAGATATAAAATTTTATTTTTTTGTCATGAATCAACAACAAGTGGGACACAATCGTGAAGTGGAACAAAATTTATTGGATAATTTGAACTTTTTTAACAAATAAAAACTGAAAAGTGGGGCGTGCAATATTATTCGGCCCCTTTACTTTCAGTGCAGCAAACTCACTCCAGAAGTTCAGTGAGGATCTTTGAATGATCCAATGTTGTCCTAAATGACTGATGATGATAAATAGAATGCACCTGTGTGTAATCAAGTGCTTCACATCTAACTGCACGTAGAGTTATGTATGATACGTTTTACACAGTTTCTGTGTATTTATGCAACATATATTATATATCGCTTCTGAAATGGCGCGCTTTGTTGTTGTTAGCACTATCTTATTGGGCTTGTTCTAGCCAGGTCGTATCACACCATTGTAAAAGTTACATTTGGAAATGATAAAGGACCGGAGTTTATGGATGGCTAAGGCCAGTACACAAGTGTAACAGAAGTTTTAAGAATCAGAAGATATGTTAATGTTTTGAATTTATTCAAATACCTCTTCAGTCCATTAGCAGTTGCTAGAAGATAACTGTTTTATACATTAGTTAAGTTTTCTATAGTGGCTGTTTATCTGTGTAACGACGTGATGCCTTTGATGGAATGAGCTGCAAAAGTTTCTTACACATTTTCAGATGAAACACTTTTTTATTAATAGAACCTTTTTTTTACTGAGTAGAAACAAGTGATTACTTTCATATAGTGAACCAATTAAATTTGATACCAGACTGTCAAGTTTAATTTTTAGACAAAAATTGTCAGAAACCATCATGTCCGTTACACATTTTTCAAGGGTCATTTAAATTCTATTAATTATTTTGCAAAAATGATTCCTTTTTAAATCTAGTGATTTATGTTGTGTCAATCTGTGGGAGTTCATTTGCTGCTTTGTCACCGATGACTTTTCATTATCTATGTAACTGGAGTCACAAAATTATCAAATCAGAGGCTGATCTGGTCTTCTAAAATTACGCCAAAAATGTAGTTTTCAATCTTTTCTTTCGATTTTATCCACAGAATCTCTTTGATATGTCTGCTTTTTGAAATCTTTGTAATTTTAGTTTTATAGTTATAACCCTTTGAAATCCAAATACTATAAGTGACACTTTACTGTGTGAACACACCAATTTACCAACAGTCTAGGCCTAGACATAACTATTTCCAAGCCTATACCTTGCTAATATGTTTGTTTATATTAAAACAAATCACAAACCTGTTTATCCTTAGCTTTACTTTGGGTCTTCATTCTGGACCATGGTGTCTGGATTGTGGCAGGTGTCTCCAACCGATGACCCCTATGAGCTTTTCAGGTCAAAAACAGCAATGAGCTAACGCTAGATCTGAAAGACGCTAACGCTAGCTCTGAAAGACGCTAACGCTAGCTCTGAAAGACGCTAACGCTAGCTCTGAAAGACGCTAAATTAATGTTACAATGTAAAAAAAAAAAAAAAAATCTTTCATTATTCACCCATTAGTAATTCATAACGTTTTTACCTTTACTCACAAGTGATAGAAATTGTAAATATAACTGAAATACAGAAAATGGTTAACAGCAGACTGTGTGTATGGTAAATAACATATACAGTCTATGTAACTAACACAGTGTATGGTAACTAGCACAGTGTATGGTAACTAGCACAGTGTATGGTAACTAGCACAGTGTATGGTAACTAGCACAGTGTATGTATTGTTTTATTATGTATTAATTTGTTTTTCTTGTGTGAAGCAATTTTATGTACTATGTGTAGCAAGTGTTCTATGCAAATAATCTTGCTTTGTCTATTGTCTAGCCCTAAACTAAAAATGTGTAGACTTCTCATGACAGGCACATTCTCAAATGTACTTATTTTTTTATGTATGTATTAGATATGGTTTCAACTTTTGTCTATCAGTTAAGTGAACTTATAATAACAACCTTAGCCATGAGTTTGTGTAAACTCTCAGTCGTACAGGGATTAGTCATCTAAAGAACTTTTTCCCTTGAAAAAGTTCTTTAGATGAAGGACGAAACATTGGGAAAACCTACTAAGAAGTACAGATGATGCGTGAGAAACCTTCCTTAACCTTAGCCATGTATGTTCACTTAATCAAATGGTAAAACAGAAAAGTTACATTGCTTGAAAAGTGTATACAGAAAGATCTGTTGGAACAACGCACTCCCTGTACCTGTTTGGCAAGAATAGATCTATTTGATAGAAAGCATTTGCCACATTAAAACAATTAGAGATGAAAAGCATACATGAGTGGCATTATGTAAAAGTGGCTCTCTGAGGCAACCTATAATCTTGTAATTTCCATTCTAGATTATGCAATGTTCAGAGCTGACAAGAAATATTTCATTACTATTACATTATGTCCCATAATGATCTGTCCGCCATGCATTTGGTATGGAGCAAGTCAAATTCTCTGTACAATTAGTGGATGACTAGAAATGAACCAACTACATCGGAAGTCATGATGACGAAAAAAGTTGGAAGGAGGAGAGGGTAGCGCTCAAGTTACAATACCTCCCCCAGCGAGGTGCCTCCTTATAGAGCTTGACTGGCAATCTATTTTTCTTTTTTTAAACTTTTGTTGTATTTGTAAGTCTTACTTATCCAGCCTCAAGCTGAATTAAAGACAAATGTTTCAAGCCTGGCCTTGAGAGACTGTGGTCGCCTCCTTGACGTATAGGGTGATTCCACAGTGTCGGAGCTTGGTAGCTGATAGCTCTGCCTCCGTTTGTGCATCTAGACGGGAACCACGAGAAGTCTGGCATTTGTAGAATATGAATGTACTGCTCAGCTCGGTTGATATGGTGGTTCCTCCTCTCCTTGTAAAAGTAACATTAGTTCACAAAGCAGATCACTAAATAAAAAATAAATAAATAAAATAAAAACAAAGCAGATCACAACATGCTCTTTTTATCCTGCAGTATTGTTTATACGTGTTATCTTTTGCATTACATTAGTCCAGTGCTCAGGTCTCTGCAATTCAATTCAATGTATTCTTGTATAGCCCTAAATCACAACAGTCATCATCTCAGAGGACTGCACTGGCTTCCTGTGGCTCAGATAATAGAATTTAAAGCAGCTGTGTGCAGAACTATCCATCTTTGGAAAAGCTTTAAAAAGTCTAGTTTGCAGTGTGCAGAACTATCCATCTTTGGAAAAGCTTTAAAAAGTCTAGTTTGCAGAGACTCACTGTGGCTGAAGGTTCCTCGGCACAACAGTGCACAGAGACATTTGCTTACTGTGCCGTCCACTCCTGTTCTGCATCACTTCGTAATGTGCGGTTCAGATTTACTGGATGTGGATGACTTTATACTGTGCAGCAGCTGTAATGTTCTGTTTTTTATTTACATATTTATTTTTAAATATGCAATATACTGTATGTATTTTGTATTTTATTTTACCTATGTGTCATATTTGATTGTGTCCCTGGGCCACTAAAGATGGTCTCCACATAGATTTTGTTGCAAAGTTAGCTACCCCATCTTTAACATCTGGTGTGGATACTTTTGACAAGCCTCCTCTTATGCCTGTACCTCCTCACAGCCCTCATGTCTTTTGTGGGGAACGCTGCAGTCCTGGTGAGTGCGGGTAGACGCTTCAGCCAGCTCAAAGCTCCGGAACTGCTTACGGTGAATCTGGCACTGACCGACATCGGCATGGCTTTGACCATGTACCCTCTCTCCATTGCCTCAACCTTCAACCACGCCTGGATGGGGGGCGACCCGGCCTGCCTCTACTACGGCCTCATGGGAATGCTCTTTAGCGTCACCAGCATCATGACTCTGGCTGTGATGGGAATGATCCGGTACCTGGTCACCGGTACTCCACCCAAGACAGGTACAAGCTATGAAATATGTTTTTTTACAGTACTTACTTACACATTTATTTCGATTGTGGAGTAGTGAATTATACTTTTTACTTGATAGCTTCATGTTTAATATATTCATAGAATTCCACCACTAGATGGAGGTGTTTGATCAGCATATATTTCTGTAGGACTATGGCAATTACTTTAGTTGTGTTTTGCATCTAAACATCTAAACATTTTGCACATTTTGGAATAAAAGATTTTCAAAGACTGATTGATATAACTAGGCTAATATACAGAACCCAACATTTCAGTCTGAATACAAGTAACTGATTTAGCACGGTTTAGCATGTATAATGTATGAATAATACTATACCTTAAGCCTGGGAATCACTCACAACCTATTATCATTATACCATACTGTGCCATATTCTGGCTTCCGAATAACTCTTTTCAATTAACTTTTGGTTTGTGTTTCAAGCCAGCTGTAAATACTTGTAGTGACACAAAAAGCAATTACGATTAAGATTGGATGAACAGAAGATGGAGCTAAAGTATAAACGTTGGCAATGGAGCCTGATAGCAATAAGCCATCATGTATAGCACATCTTATAAAGGACACTTCCCCAATGTGATGAACCAGAACAGAGTGAAAACAAATAATAATCACATACAGACACATTTAAAGGAAGGAAGGAAAGTAACATCCAAATAAGGGAGATTAGTAAGAGATTAATAAGTAAGTTAGTAAGAGATTAATAAACATCTTTTCATCATTGTAATAAATCGGTGGGATAAGAGGACATTCAGTACAGGCACTATTCATCATCGGGATTACTGGATGCTCCAGAGGCTTCAGGGACAGACGTCTGCGTGTAGTGACATTCTTGTGAATTGGGTGTTTAATGCATCATGTGAAGCGATAAGCCACAACAGAGAAAACATTGCCTTAACATGACCTTGGGCGGAATAGCCCTCATTAGACACCACCAGCCACCATGGCAATATCCACTCCCTACAACTCTAGGGACTGCATTTAAATTGAACTTCTGATTTATAGTTACATCATCCACTCAAGTTATATCCATTCTCTTTTTTCATAGATAGCTTTTTCATATCGAATGGGAAATGTTGTGTTTTGGTTTTAATTCGCATCAGTTCTGTGTTTAGTTTAACCAGGTCTTGAAATTTCAAGAGTATGGAATTTTTAAAAAAAGTATTAGTGTGCTCAAGAAAGCCCACTTCGTTTATTTTTCTTATTTCACGTTTCTGTAGTATGTTGAGGGGATGTGAGATTTAGACGATACGTCGAGTGTGTTGAGAATAGAATGATTCAATGTGTCAAGTGCTTTCTTAAGATCGATAACAAATCCTGCTGCATATTTAATCTTATCTAAGACTCGAGCATTTTCCCCACTGCTTCAATTATGGCGGTTGTCGATGATTTGTTCCTCTTGAGCCCATACTGACTTCCATTAATTATGTTGTGTTTATCTTGGTTTTTTTCTAAGCTGCTGTCAATTATTTTTCCAAGAATTTAGAAAAATAAAGGGAGGATGAGACTTGTCTGTAGTTAGTAAAAACTTCAATTCCATTTATTTTAGTACAGTCCTACAGCAGTCATATTGAAGGACCCCTCAAAATGTCAATGGGGCTATCATTAAATAAATATATAAAATGATCCTAGATGTTTGTTTTTGTTTTTTTACGTCTGCAAATGTCCTTAAATTCCCTTGAACATCCTCTTCCTGGACACTCCTGCATCAGCATGAAGAAAATTAAAAAACCCAGTGGGAAAAAGTGAGAGACCTCAGGCCACACTTGAGGGAGGGATCTGCTCCTACGGACGAACAGGCTTTATATTCAGCACTCTAGAGATCCAGGACTCTGTAGAACGAGGACGTGTTTGTCACCATTCTTGTAGATCAGAATTTCTTTAGGTTGTTTCATTCTATATATTTTTTTAAACCGGTTTGCAGGATTTGAGCTACAGTCTAGTCCAACATTTGCGCATCTGTTTTTTTCTATGTAATAATCTGTGTGTGTATCCTTATTAGCAACATTTCTAATTATTCTATTCAATATGCCCCATAACCTTTTGATATCTATATAAAAAGTTCCTTCCAATAGTTGTCAATTCTTCATTGTAATATGATTATGATAAATATAAACAAACATGTCGCTATAATGTGCGATCATCAAGTTATAATCTGGCCTTTTCACGTCTACATAACTGAACTGTCCCATTACACAGCAGCACCATTTTAATCTTGCCATATATGTCCACTGCATCTTCAGAATCTGAGCAAGTGAGATGCACCAATCCATACTTACATATACCTCCATCTCCGGCCACTGATCTTACAAACGAACAACAGATTGAGATGAAACACATCTCCTGATTCCAGCATGACAATCAGATTTACGCCTTTAGTCCTCAGTGCACATGTGGCGATCTCAGCAGGGGGCCACATCAAGGGCCCTTTATTTTCTCCACACTGTGCCGAAGATGCAGATCGAGAAGCCGTGTCCGTGCACAAGTAGCGGGCTTACACATTGTTTGCACAGTGAATTGCTTGCTGCACTGTGGATAACGCGTTCGTAGAAAACAGTGCCTCAACAGCCTCCGGTGTTCAGTCTCGTGTGGCCTGGGAATGTCATGTGACGCTTGTAACGGTTGTGGTGTGAACAAATTTCATACTGAGCACTGATTTACAGGTGGATATGGTTAAACATATGACAAGTAAGTAAGTAAGTAATCTTTATTTATATACCGCCTTTCACAGACCAGAGTCACAAAGCGCCGCAAGCGGTTTACAATTGTTATTTTTTGGGCATTTGTCCTCTCACTCCACTCAGAGATGGGAGCGTCTGTTTATTAAGCAACAGGAAATTGGAAAGACATAAAACATGTGCAATGTATTAATAACTGGAAAATCACCCGTAGAGCATATAGTTCATCCCGATTCCAAACAGAGTTCCATTATTTCGTATGACATTTTTATTTTTTCAGATTTATCATTTACCGCAATATGCTGTCGCTTTTACGTAGTAGTAATAATTTAATCTTTTTTATACTTAAGAAAGAACACTTGGAGTCACTAGTTGATGGCCGTAAAATAGCTCGCATCCCCAATGAAGACATGCTAAATTAATGTCAATGTTTTTTATTTCAGTAAGCTATTGTGCTGTTTTATCTACCCACTCAATAGTATTTCCTGTTTCAGCCAACCCTGGATGACCTTGGTTAAGAGCGTTGGTTGGAAATGACCTTTTCTAACAATTCAATGAGACGGATTGGGAGGATTTTTAAAAGGTTTGGATTCACAATAGCTGAAAGCAAAGGACATTTGGAGAGGTATGGTGGATATTGGAGCATAAATTGACAGCAGTGACGCAGACTTTTCCCTCCCACGTCTCTCACTCTGGTGGAAGTGGATAAATAAAAGCTTTGACCCTCATCTTGAATACATCTTTCAGTGGTATCTGAGAAAACATATTTTTTCCTCTGGACAAAAGCTTGCGTCACAGTTCGTAGCTTTAAAAGCATCTCATCTATGTTTTTTTGTGTGTAATAACTGTAAGCTATATTTTCCCTTCGAATTTTCTTCTACTTTTCTAACGGCATGTTTCAATGCAGACATTTCCCCATTGTCAGACAAATTTTGTTTTTTCTCATCCGATCTAATTTATGTAATCCCTCTTTTTCAGAATAGCATCTTAAATTTCTTCCCCCTGAAATGCTTATTTAAATTAATCAGAGTGTGTATAAGGTGAAGAAATGCTGCAGATATATTGCTTTTTCATTATAGCCGAGGCTTTATCCCTCTTGAGTTTCAATTCAAATGTTTCATATCTCAAATTAATTAAAAACTGAGTGACTCATACTAATTGCAAATATTCTGAGGCATCCTGTCGTAAGACGTAGAGTGTGTCTCCTTGAGCTCTTTTAAGCTTATGAAGAGCCACTGCTATACTGTACCATTGCTGTTGATTTAATCCTATTCCATTGAGCTAGTACTTGTATATGATATTTGTGCAAAAAGCCTGTATACTGTCACAATGTTGGCCATAAATCCCTTGATCGACATGTCATTTTTTTGGATCAATAGTAAAGATTTAGAGAGAATATGATGAAGCAGTTGATTTTGATGGCTTGTGAAGTGATTAAAATGGGAGGAGTCACCCTAGAAATCAAGGGACAAAATGGAATGGAAAAAATCTGCTATAAAAAGCCACGTATTGATTCAGCGGACCAACTATTCTTACTATGTTTTTCTCCCTTAGAAATGATAAGCAAGCAACACGCATACTGTTGTTTTTCAGTGAATGACCTTCATAAGGATAGAAATGTATAACCTAAGACTGAAAACAAATCTAAGACACATTGTCACACATTGTGTTTTATGAATTCTCATAAAAATGTTGTCGTTTTAATATGGTTATACTGAGATGGGAGACAATCAGATTTAAGCCTTAAGTCCATGGTGCACATGTGGGGATCTCAGCAGGGGGCCACATCAAGGGCCTTTATTTCTACACACTGTGGCGAAGATGCAGATTGAAGCGCTTTATTAAATGCTTTATAAAACGTAAAATTATTATTATTATTTTACTATACTATATTTTTTTCTGTTTTATTTTACTAATTATTTTCTTTGTATGTTTATATGTTAGGGTATTTGTGGGTGTGAAGGGACAAGTGAACATATATTATATCTAATGTCTTTCTATGTGTTCTATGTTTGTCGGTCCATTGTCTTCAACAAAATTAAAATGTTACTATAATTTTTTAAAACAGCTTTTTAAAATCTAAATTGGTTTCCAGAATAAAAGGTGTCATATGCAAAAAAATGACAGACATTTCCACATAAATCATGAAATCTAAAATCTGCAAACAACTTCTCCTCATATCTTTCCTTCTTGTGCTCAGGCGTGAAGTTCCAGCGGCCCACTATTTGGATTGTGATCAGCGGTATCTGGCTGTACGCAGGGCTCTGGGCGGTGCTTCCTCTGCTGGGCTGGGGCAGTTACGGCCCAGAGCCATTTGGACTGGCCTGCTCCGTGGACTGGACCGGTTACGGAGAGTCCCTCAACCACTCCACCTTCATCCTGGTGCTGTCCATCCTCTGCACCTTTCTCCCCTGCGTCACCATCTTTTTCACCTACTTTGGCATCGCATGGAAACTGCACCGAGCCTACCAGTCCATCCGGACACAGGACTTCCAGTACGGCAACATAGAGAAGAAAATAACACTTGTAAGTGTCATTGTACAGTTGGTCATGGGGATTGTATTTGAGTGAGATTTGTTTAGGAATCTCTTTTTAATTATAAGGGTTTATGTCTGTGGTTATGCTATCAACTGTTATTTTGAAATTATTAGTCTAGACAAGCCTATACTGTCTAGACAACACATACATATTTTGTCAAACAATTCCTCCAGACATACAAAGTTAAGGGTAGCTACCTGCATGTGAAAACCTGATCCGAACATATCTCAGTAGCTAAGCAGGACAAGGCCTCGTTAGTGCTGTGATGGGAGACCTCTGGGAACACCAGTGGAGCGGCTGCAACTGTCATTGTGTCTTCAGGCAAATTACTTCACCCACATTGATTAGAATGAGTTTGGCGCGTGAATGCTTAGTGGTGGTCAGTGAGGGCCATGGCACATACAAGTTGCATTGCCTCTGTCAGTCTGTCTCAGTGCAGCTGTGGCTACAGTAGCTGCCGAACATGCTGGTCCACTGACTGTGTTTATTCTTTCACTGTCCTCATGCTGCTAATACATGTACAGTCATGGAATCAGTGTGAATACTACCCTGGACTGACTTGTATTTCTTCTTAAGTGTGCCATTTTTTCCAAGTGCCATTATAACTATTGTTTGATGTATTGATCCTCTTAAGATTTATAGTGTTTCCAATCTTGATTTCTTTGAGACATTGATAATGATCCACTGGGAATAATGTTTTTTTTCATCTTGTCTTTAGGTATCCTAAGCAAGGATGATGTTGTCAAGAAGTCCTGAAACATGCATAAATCATTACCCTTACTGCTACTATAAGCTTTGAGGTCTGCATGGAAATCCAAGTTCTTGAAATGCAGACATGTCCCTTTGGTGAAAGCTCTGGTCCAAAGGTTCTGTTGAAAGATAACTGTATTTAAAATAATAGAGGCTTTTGGCATGTCTAGCAACCCTTCAAAATGGTTGAACTGGAAAATTGTCTTGGGTATGACTCTTGGATATGACCTGTATGTTTATTTTCCTGAATAGCTCGGCTGTCTTGGAGCAATCCATCTGCGTTTCGTATTTACAATCGAAGGAGAGACTTCTTGTCACATTTGTAATTTGAACATCTTGCTCTTTTCCTGGGCTATGATGGATGTCAGATGCAGTTACATACATAAATGCATATACTGGAGTTGTATGACAGCTCAAGACGTGCTGCTTTTCATCCATGAGGCTTTTGAATGTACGCACTCGCTCAGATCCACAAGACTGGAGGCTAAATTGTTGGGGATTTTTTGTTCATGGTATTATCTTCTGCTCATCAGCTCCACTGCTATCTAAGTCATGAGATGATGAGAAAAAAATGTCAAGATGAGTAGTGATCAAAATATTATGGCACATGGGTATAGAATCCTTTCAAGGTCAAAAGTGTAAATTAGATAGTTATATAGACATCACTCAGATGTACACAGAATATTGACTGGTGGTGACCTTTTATAGACTCGCGCCATCTCCTGGGCACTGGTGAAATTAAATAACCGCCCTGTCACACTGTTTGAGACATTCTGAGTGGTGAGACGTTCAGTGCGTTGCGTAACCCACTCTCTTCACAAGAAAAGCAGCACATTTAAGTGACCGTTCTCACAAGCCACAGGGCGCTGATACTTGACCGGGTGCAAGGGGTCACAGACTGGTCAACACTTTGGGGATTCACACATGCGGGTTTGTGTGAACAGCTTAAATTGTGATGTGGAGGGATGTGTGCATGTTCACTTTCACACTTTCACAAGGGGCAGACGTTAAAGGCATCATAAAGTGTAACTTTATTATGTAAATGTGGATCCACAGTATATATTTTTTCTTTTCTTTTTTTCCCCCATCCCAAAAATATGTTTACATGGCAGAAGGCTTTCTCCTCCATTGATTTGTCCAGTAATTGTGTTTGCAAAACAGCCTGATTAATACCATTGAGAGAAGCATGGCAAGTTTATTTGTATAGCACAATTCATAATCAAGGCAACACAATGTGCTGAACAAATCAGGATAGCATTACAATCATCAATAATCACAACATGAAATAGAAATATACATGTAAAAATATAAAATCCCTCAATTGTATGCACAGTCAAACAGAACTGCCACCTGGACACGTCAGAGAACAGGCCACCAGTAACACCACCAGGAACACTGTTCCAGGCCCCGGCTGGAACAACAGCCCCCTCCCCATGTTTAGTTCTGACTCTGGGCACCAGCAGGAGTCCAGTCCCCATGCCCCATGCCGAGTTGGTTCATATGACACAAACACAGATGTACTTTGGTGCGAGGCCAGGCAGAGACTTGTATACAAGCATAGCTGATTTAAAGTCCATTCTCTGAAAGATGTGTGCAGTGATTCAAAGTGAGTGTTCAGGTTTTTTTACTTTGTAGAATGTGAAAATGTATAAACCAATCTCAGATGGAATAATGGAAGTAAAAATATTAAGGCAAGCAAAGCTATAGCTGACGTAGGTACAGAAACTCACAAAATTAGATTGGATTTTTATTTTCTATCCATTGGTAATTTCCTGAAAAAATGTTAAATACGGCAACACTACACTGCATAACAGGTTATTGACTCAAATGATATCTAGAGAAAATGTTTTATTATTCAAATGTTTGAATTGCGATCAATTTCTCTCAGATTGGCAATTAATTGGGTTGTTTTACCAATTCCCAGCCCTTAAAATGAACAATCTTACTTGTATTTTTCCTCTATTTTCAAATGTTTTGTCTTTACTGCCGGTGCTACTTGTATTAAATACCAGCTTAAATACATTTTCAATTGGAATCTCATTTTAAGAATTTTAATTTCACTCATTCTCTAACCACCGCCGGCGGATAGAGTGAATAACATGGTGAATAGATTACACAGCAGGATGTCTATAAGCACTGACAAGAAAGCTGACATGATTGACTTTTTTAATACATTTCACTGACTGCATGTGAAGAAACAAAAAATCGGTGTTTAACGTTAACTCAAAATGTTTTGCAAAATTGAGGTTTATTACTCCCCATGTCATTTTTAATAAGTATAATCATGAATGTATTTTTATCAATAGCAATATGCACTCTTGTAGCGCTTTTCTGGACAATTCACATGGATTTCTGCTTTTACTTCATAAACAGCACGGTGGCTGATTGGATAGCATTCTTGATTCTCAGCAAGAAGGTCTTGGGTTCGAATCCCGGTCGGAACAGGGCCTTTCTGAGTGGAGTTTGCATGTTCTCCCTGTGTCTGCGTCGGTTTCCTCCGGGTGCTCCGGTTTCCCCTACCACTAAAAACATGCACAATAGGTATGAATGTAAATGAGAGAGTGAATGGATGGTGTTGATTGGGGCTGATGCGTCAGTGTGTTCGGCGACTCGCTTCCCTCATCACCATGTGTGGAATGATTGGAACAATATCTGAACTCTGAACATTGCAAAGCGCTTTGGGTGACCTTGGTCTATAAAATGCGCTATATAAATAAACATTACTTACTTACTGGTGGTGATAAGCTACAACTGTAGCCGCAGATCCCCTGGGGCAGTATCAGAAGTAAGGCAACTAGTATGTGTTATCGGGGCCCCTCCCACCTGCACCAATCATACACAACAGGTAAAGGTGCACTTTATTAAAGGAATAGTTCACCGTTTTTACATACTGACATATGTTCTTACCTTACCTTAGACTAGTTAATACGTACCTGTCTGGTCTTAGTCCGTGCGCTCTGTCATGCAAACGGAGCAAAAACGGGAGCACAACCGCAGCCTCCTCTGTATATTTTGTAGCACCAAAAGGTAGCTCCCGCTAGAAGCTACCAAACTCTTCCAAGTGTTCCCTATTAAATGTATATAGTTACGTGACGTGTTACACTGCAAAGTATAGTAACACAGAAATGTAACAGTCGATTTTCTCAGCGGATAAAACGGGTACTATATTGTGAGGCGTAGTAATCTGAGGGGCGCTACGTCCGCGCACTAACTTCTCTCCGGAGACTTCTCTCTCGCTCACTTCCGTCAATAGAAGCAGCGTGACTTGTAATACACACAGTAGCAGCGAGAGAGAAGTCTCCGGAGAGAAGTTAGTGCGCAGAGAAGTTAGGAGCGCTACGTCCGCGCACTAACTTCTCTCCGGAGACTTCTCTCTCGCTGCTACTGTGTGTATTACAAGTCACGCTGCTTCTATTGACGGAAGTGAGCGAGAGAGAAGTCTCCGGAGAGAAGTTAGTGCGCGGACGTAGCGCCCCTCAGATTACTACGCCTCACAATATAGTACCCGTTTTATCCGCTGAGAAAATCGACTGTTACATTTCTGTGTTACTATACTTTGCAGTGTAACACGTCACGTAACTATATACATTTAATAGGGAACACTTGGAAGAGTCTGGTAGCTTCTAGCGGGAGCTACCTTTTGGTGCTACAAAATATACAGAGGAGGCTGCGGTTGTGCTCCCGTTTTTGCTCCGTTTGCATGACAGAGCGCACGGACTAAGACCAGACAGGTACGTATTAACTAGTCTAAGGTAAGGTAAGAACATTTGTCAGTATGTAAAAACGGTGAACTATTCCTTTAATCCCCGTAGGTCAATTCATCCTCTGCATTTGGTGCATGTTTTTAGTGGAAACCAGAGTACCCAGAGGAAACCTACACAAGCAAGGGGAGTACATGCAAACTCCACTCAGAAAGACCCCGATCCAACCGGGATTCGAACCCAGGACCTTCTTGCTGATAGGCGAGAGTGCTATCCACTCAGCCACCGTGCCGCCCTCATGTCAGCATGTCGTCTCAGACGACAACATTCTTCATTCACCAACAACAGATCAAACACTGGGAATTCAATAATAATACACCGGAGCCACTAGTCCATAGGATAGCAGGATGACCATGTCCATAAATGTAAATACATTTTCAGAAATGTCTCCAAATGCCCTAGATCATCACTGTCTTTAGACCCCCCCTGTATCAGCAAGGAACAACAGGAAAAAAATGGAGTAACCTCTGGGAGATCCATATTGAGAGATGGATCCGCTCCCAGTGATGGACAGGCTGTAGATCCAAGACTCAATATGGGTGAAGTTTTTTGCCTCAGGACATAATGACAGTTTGGTACTTTATAGCCGCCACCCCACTGTTGCACCAGGTCTCCCATCACAGTCCTAACCGGGCGAAACAGGCTTTCACACACATGTGGCACACATTCTTTTACGTGTACCGATTGTAATTCGTTGTATTTTTCTCTATATTTCAAGTGTATTAATTTAAATCATGTTTTAATTGCACATCCCTATTATGTAAACTGGCGTCTTTAATACAGGTGAAGCAAGCATACAGGCTTTTTAGCTGGTGAAGATGTATTTGTATATTCTCAATGACTTTTCTTTGGGAATAAATACAGTCCTGAACTTGAATCAACTCAACATAAACCATACAATTTACATTTCCCATGGTTTACTTGAGCTACGTCTCTGAACTGTAGAAGCCTTTAAGTTTAGCGACTTTCTGAAGCGTTTGTTATAGAAAATACAAAACGGATAATGCGTGCAGTCTTGAATTTGAGAGCTAAACAGGAGCTGACAACATTGTGCCACGTGAAGCGCAGGATTGGACTCAGCCAGCATGAACATCTGCTGTGACCAAGGTGCATCGCCCTGACTACCGCTGGAATGAGTCCAAACTCTTTCTCCGTGAATAAAAGAGATATCACTTTTACAGTAGTATTGTGCTCAAGAAGGCGGCTTTTCATACTATGTTCACGGAATTTTATTTTAGTTTAAAAAATAAAAATAAATCTCCATTTGGAATCCGTAAGAAAATAGTTGAAAGCTTGCTCTGCATTAATCATGATTGATGACTAAAAGTTGTATGTTTCTGAAACATTAGAAACTGCAAAGTTTTTATGGAATTATGCAGATTTGTATAACTGTGCTGTGGATAGCAGTAAGAATGCATCCAAGAGGGGCACAGGCGGATATGAAAATGCTCAGGGAGAATTAGTCTTTTTGTTTATGAAGGAGGTTATAGAACAACACACAAGTCACACGAGGAGCAATACCGTCCATAATGGCAACGTAACAATTCGTGTGAAAAGTGTGACGCTCTTATTGTCCGAGTCTGGGCTGAAAATATGTTTGTAAATGTATATATTGCTCCATGTGAATGAAAAACTTCCCGTAGACTATTAGAATCTGATTATGCATATTTATGTATGTCTTTTTGGCACTGAATAATGGACTCCCCAATATGTAAGCCTACTCTCAAGTCTCTCCATGGCCTCACATCAAAGGAAATCTGAGACATGTTAGTGCCATATCGGAGCCAACTTGGTGCCCAGAGTCAGGACTAAACATGGGGAGGGAGATTTTCAGATTAAAGCAGCTAAATTTGAGAACACTTCCTGAAAATGTGAGACAGGCCTCTACTATGACAATGTTCAAATCCTGGTTGAAAACTGTTCGGTTTCGCTGTTCATTCTTTTTAATGTACTATGATAATTTATGATTTTAATGCCTTATGCGATTGTTCCTATCTTGTTTTGTTACACACTTTGAGTGGCCTTGTGTATGAACTGTCCTCTACAAATTACCTTGCCTTGATTATGTGAAAAAAAATTGTCCGCGTTAATCAACACAACTTAGATAAGGCAGTATCTGACTAATTTTCTTTGCACATGTTCTTCCTTTGATAACATCCTCTCTTATTTTCTGTGATCTCTTTCGTCCTTTCCTTTAGATGGCTGTGATGATCAGCGTGGGCTTCCTGCTGGCGTGGACCCCCTATGTGGCTGTGAGCTTCTGGAGCATGTCTCACGCTCGGATCCAGGACAACCTTAACCCCTTCATCACGCTACTGCCTTGCCTTTTCGCCAAGAGCTCCACAGTCTACAACCCTTTCATCTACTTCATCTTCCAGCGCTCAGCCAGGCGGGATCAGGCGGGTCACAGAAAGCACCAGCGAGCCTGCTTCCACTGCTGCGGCTGCGGGTACTCGGGGACGCCAGATAATGCCAAAAGTGACGGAAAAATGACCACGGATTGCAACGGGAACGGCACCGACGCAACGATGCTGGGGTTGATGGGGGGGTCTGCGGGCCTAATTGTGAACCAAAATGTGAAAGAAATCATCACAATAGCTTGAAGTGGAGAGTGTATGTTGTAAAGCTGAACAATATCCCTTTAAAAGACACATGCAAGCATCTCTGTGCATGATCAAGTCAAGAATCAGCATAGTTTGTGGTTCATTTGATTTCAAGTTGGAGTATGTTTTTATGTACATGCATGTGGAAACTGGTGTAAGAACCAAACTGTTTTGAGAACGAGAAACTAGTCACATAGATTTGGTGACATAGTTAATTTTTTGTGGCTTCAAAGTTAGGTGCACCAGCTTTAAAAGTGTAAATCAAGGGGGCCCACACTTTATCAAACTAAGTTCTACTTTTACGACATTTGAGCCAGGACCTACCTCGGATTTCTGTGGCAGTGTTAGTGTTCAAATATCACGTTTGGTTTGATTCATAATGAATGTGATTCATGGTCAAGTAATGAGAATGTTGTCTTTATTTGCATTTGGCTGGAAAGCAATATTCATAGGCTTAAATTGCCAGTTCAAACATTGACTTATAAAAGTGCACATACATCTGCCACAAAATGTACAGTATGTTCTTGTGTAGTGTTTCTCATACTGTAAATGTCCCTTATAACTGCTTAGTGCTCATATTATTTGTCAGAAACGCTCACACCTCATTTACTACTGTCTACTTTTACCATGCACGTGTTCGTGGGAGCCTTCTGTTCTTTCTTTTGAGGAAGTCAAAATGCGTGGTGTGACCGGCGTCTCTTGCCAGTGCGTAAACAGCTCCATGGGGATGTGCATTTGGAGCTCTGTTCCTTGTGTGCTGTGGCGTGAGAATGGCACGCTGTACATGTTGCCTGTGAACGTGGGTTTGTTATGGCCACCTATGGCCAAAAGTTCAATGCCGCATCTTACTTGTATACTGTCCTACCTTCGAAAAATTAGCATTTGGCAAGAGCTTCTTGGTTAGTAGCTTTTTCCAAAGTCACTATTAAAAAACCTCGCCAATAATCAGTTTTAGTGTTGGGATATAGCGTGACAATATCACACTTTTCTCTGTGTATCGTGATATAAAATGCATCAACATAAAGTAATACACAACCCAACAATTTATGAAACAAAAATACTTCTTTGTACTGATGTATGCCTTATATATGCATACTGCATGTATTATAGAGGCTCCATTACATTCCTCTCATTAAAGCGGTCACACAGTGCCGGAAGCATGCCACCAGGGCCGTGGCTCGTCCAGAATAATGCACGCTGCTTTATGTGAGCTGAATACAGCACCTCCTCCTCTTCATCAAGGACATAGAAAGACGATGTGTTCTCCACACCTGATATATTCACACAATACTGTATCAGTTTGTCTGCTTTTCTTTTTGCACATATCCAGTTTAGAAGGACTTCCTTTTGATTTTTCAATAGCAGTTTAGAAAGTCAAAGTCATCAAGATTAGCTTTTAACATGAAATGCATCTCCTTCCCTTACCCTTCTCCGGCTGGAAAAACTCCAAACAGTGGAAGCCTCAGGAAGAACCATAGTGAAAGACCTACTCCCATGGATGAATGGAAGTAAAATGAATGCCAAAATACACATTGAACATAACATATTGAAAATAATTTTATCTAAAGACATGTTGTGCATTGTGTAATTCAGGCATCCAGCAGCAGAAACACATCCATCCATGCAATCAAATGAATACATCATTCTGAAAGCTACGAACAATAGTAATAAAGTGAAACAGCTCTTTAGGTCACAGCAGCAGAGGTGGTGATGAGCTGCTTCCTAACCTCTGGTTGATATATGCAGAGTCTGCTTAGTTTGGACAATTTTCTCTGCTCTGATTCAGAGTGAAAAGAATGCTTTATTCGCATTTTTCTAGATGGCATTCCTCCAGTGGATCTACACTTTATCTGCTTGGTTCAGACCCTGCATCTCTACTCTTTTCTGGGTCAGTGTAAAACCATGAACCCTGTACTGCAGTCAAATTTACTGGTGAAAAAAGTAAGAAAAATAATCAACAAGTGTTTCAGAGCTACTTAGGATTTGCTGCCGTTCCAGTTATTCAAAAGCAAACCCTGTAAGAACAATGGGCTGTATTCTATCATCGCAGAAGTAGCATATACTGTAGTTCTGACTGCAGCTGTTACACCATACACAGAATAGAAATTCTTTATTTATCCAGGTGTAACTAACATAGTACTGTTTAAAATATGTTGTTTTTGTTTATTTTCTGCATAGCTCAATGTGTTCAGAAAGTTATCTTTATTCAGTATCCATCCATCCATCCTTCCATTTTCTTCCCCTTAATCCATTTCTGGGTCGGGGGGGTGGCAGTCAGAGCTGCACCCAGTACACTTAGCACCAGCCCCTCACTGATCCTCCTGCAGGTGGTGAGTCCACAGGAGCTGAGATCTTTCAGTGGGAGCTTCAGGCAAAGTGGGGTTAAGTGTCTTGCCCAAGGACACAACGACAGCAGTCATCAGTGGGAGTCGTACATTACTTTATTCAGTAATTATTGTGAATTTATATAGCCCATAGATGTATTATAATATCTGGATAGGGTATTACTAGCTTGGAGCTGAAGGACCCATCTGCTCGGGGATTTTCGCGGTACTGCAGACTAAACAAGACTAAATTTATGAGGGCCACCCAGAAATTATACTAATAGATCTCAATGTAAACTAAAACAACTTAACCTCAGCTGACAGAGAACCTACATTTTTTATAAAGGTCGGTTTTTGTGAGGATTTTTGTGTCCCTTGTTATCCTGAACTTTTTTTCTTGTTAAATGATCTCGTCCACTGCGCAGAACTAGGAGGACAAGAGAAGTGACCAAATATGGTTGAGTTCCACTAATCTTTTGGTGCACATTATGGCCCATTGATTTGATTAAGGTGCCACCTTGGATCGCCAAGGCTTGATATAGCCCTAAAATAGCCCTATAAAGTCCCTTTTTCAGTTTTGAGCACCATTCAGTCCCTGTGCTCCTCAGAGTCCGAGTTGGTTTATATGGCGCTAACATGTCACTTATGTACTTTGGTGCGAAACCATGGAGAGACTTGAACACAACCAGAACTATTTCAAAGTCTGTTCTCTGATCTACAGGAAGCCAGTGCAGAGACCTGAGAACTTGACTGATGTGATCATACTTCCTGGTTCTAGTCAGGACTCCAGCTGCAGTGTTTTGAATGTACTGAAAATGTTTTACAGCCTATTTGGAGAGACCTATGAGGAGGCCATTGCAGTAGTCTAACCTACTGGAGAAAAATGTCTGCTTTAGCCGGCACTATGTTTTTGATCCTATTAATGTTTAGATGTTATAAAGCTACTGATGTTAGTGATTTGATGTGGCTTTTAGAATGTAAGTTTGAGTCCAGTATTAGCCCCAGATATCAGACCTGGTTTGAGGGTTTTAGGAAGAGGGACTGGAGGTGACAGTCCCTCTTCTGGGGACCAAAGACAATCTTACAGTGTAGCATCCCCAGCATCTGACCAAAATTGTCCAGCACCTATTGCATGTGTTTTTGTGATTTTAAGTCATCTTTATTTATATTGCACCTTTCACAGTAACAAAGCGCTTTACAGTCAAGTGCTTTTCCTCTTACTCCACACAGTGAGGATAGTCATACAGATGGCGCATGCCAGAACTATTTTACATGTTTTTTAGTGGTAAAGGAAACCGGAGAACCCAGAGGAAGACTTCAAACACACAAGGAAAACATTGGAACTCCACACAGATAGGTCTGGAGGTGGAATCGAACCCAGGAACTTCATGCTGTGAAGCATAAGTACTAACAAGTGCACTACCAAGGGACTCTAAGCATTAGTACACCTATGCAGAGAGTGGAAGAACATACAAACTCCATGCATTGTTCGGGAGTCGACCCCAGGCCATTTTGCAGTAAGGTGAGATTTGAAAATGCAAATGTAGATCAATGTCGATGAGAGCTGTTTATGTTGGTTTTGATGCTAACTCCTGGATAAGAGGACTACTCCACTATATCCCTACCAAGACTTCAGTTGCCGAGCCAAATAGACATACTCGTGTTTTCTTTTGAAAAATACAATAAAACGCGATCTTAAAATGCATCTTTGAGTGTATCCACTATAGTCAAGTCCGGAGAAATGTTGTCGGACTTGTCTCAAAGACACATACCGAACCACACTCGTGGCATCTTTCTGAGTGTATACTATATTATATTTTTGCCAATGGAAGTATTAAAGGAGATACATTATGAAAACAGATGCATGAAATGATCCACCCACACTAACATGTAACTCCGCCCCTTCTGTCTCAGTTCTGTATAAGTATGATGCCATTGTACCACTGTGACATCACGCACGGAGCAGTGCAGCAAATAATTCAGTTTGGGAAATGTATCTGGAAATTAAATTAAATCATGTTCATTAAAATGACATACCGTGTTCGAAGTCTGTGATTTCAAAATGTGGAAATAAAAAAACAAAACCAATTCAGCTCCTCCCTCTGGTGGTAATATAGGCAGGTCAATAGCATTCGCCTTCATTCTTGTTTCATTATACATTTTCTACTGAAGATATTTTTTCACATTCTCAAACATATACTGAGTATTTATTATTCAATATATTAATTGTGTACCCACTGCTTTAGGGATTTCTGGATATTACACATGACAAAGATTAGTATTTTGAAACATAAATTCTGCAATATTGATAATGAGATATCTTCACAATGCATCTTGAAGCTTATCCTTGTGATCCATTGTTCATTTATGCTTTTGTCATGCTCACATGGTATTTTCTAGGTGAGCTGCCCTGGAGCTGTTTTCATCTCCAATCCTACCTCTATATTAACGCCAGCACACACAAGCCATTAAGCCCACGGGCAAGATTCAGGCCAGGCTGAATGAGGCCAATAAGACAAATCCAGTTCAATGAAAGTTAAATAGTGGTACAGGTGAACCTCAGAACATTAGAATATCCAACATTCTTATTATGGACTTAATAGTCTTCTGCAAGGGGTTTTTTTACTGCATGATTTCATTGCAAACCCTACAATGGATTTTTTTCCATCTATCTATTTTTAAAATATGTCGGTTGCAGGAATTGAGCTTGTGACAAACATAAAGATTGTTTCATATCACATAACCTCTGCAGATAAAGATTCACTGCATGTGCAGGTGAAATCATTGGAATGTATTTTTTGGAAGCTTGGAATATATCACTTTGCATGAGTCTGTGTCATATATTGGTTCCATATTTTAGGTTCAATCACAGAAATAAACTTTAGAACGAACAGTTTCACCTGTATTTCAATCATATGCAGTTCTGCAAACGGCCATCAGGTGGTGTCATTTCTGCAGTGTTTCATAACCCCGTAGCAGAATCTGACAGGTAAGAACATCTCAAGGGCCCTACTGTATTGTAATGTAATGTTATGTAATTAAAAGATGCACTATTGATGTCGTAGCAGGCTACCATACTTCTTTACATGAGAGATATAGCATTCAGAGTGGAGTTGTAGTAAAAGTAATTGGCACTCTCAATAGTTTTCTCAATAGTTTTCACATGCATAGTGTCTTACATGACTTACACATGTGCCAAAGAGGACATGTTCTCCACATAGACCAGGGGTGCCCAAAGTGGGGCCCGCGGGCCAAAGTTGGCCCGCCAGACCATTTCAGTTTGGCCCGCCAAACATTGCCCACCTCCGTCTTTGTCGCGTTCGCGGTGCCGGTGGGGTTTGGTTTGCTTGTCCGTGTTTGGGCGAGCCCCGTCTGCGGTTGTGTTTTTGGGTGGGGGGGGTGTGCTGGGCGGTTGGGTTGTGGTGTGGGTTGGGGTTACGCGGTGTCGGTTTCCCACCCCTTTGCTATTAGTTCTCGGGGTAGTTTGAGTGTTGGGGGTTTTGTGTGGGTCGTCGGTGTTCAGTCGTTGTTTATTTTGCTTTGTGTGTGGGGTTTAAGGGGCCCCGGTTTGTGTGGGTTGTTGTTTAGTTGCGATCTTTGGCGTCGTTTTTCGGTGTACTCGTGTTCTCTGTTGGTGCCGGGCGGGTCTTGCGTGTTTCTTTTGTCGCGTTGTCTGGTTGTTCTCCTGTTTTTTGTTGTTGAGAGAGTGGTTGGTTTGTGGTCTTGGGTCTTGGCGTTCTGGTTATGTGGTTTGTTCGGCTTTGTGGGTGGTGAACGTTTTTGGATTGCGGTGGCGTGTCGCCTGATCTGCTTTCTGCTGGTGTGGCGCGTTCTGCGGTCGCTTGGGCTCGGTTCCTTGTTGCGCTTGTGCTCATGCCTCGCCGTGGTGTTTGGTTTGTGCGGGGGACGATGGTGTCGTCGCGTTGCGGGTCGGGTGTGTCTTTCTTTTGTGCTTGTGTTCTGTGGTTTGGTGGTGTCGTGGTGTTTTCCGTTGTTGGCGTCCTTTGTTGATTACCGCGTTTGGGTGGTTTCGGATTTGGTTCCAGTTTTTCTCTTGTTGGTGGTTTTGGTGGCGTTCGGCTGGGGGCTTGGTGTGTCTCTTCTGCCTGGCTTGGGTCTTTTCGTTGCTGTGTTGTGTTTGGGGCTTCTGTTGGCGGTGGTGTTGTGGGGGTTCGGGTTTGACGATTGTGCCTTGTGGTGTCCGGAGTCGTGTTTGCGTTCGTGTGGGTGTGGTTGATTTTTGGGCTGTGGTTTTGTGGCGGAGGTTAGTTTTGCCCGTCCTGGGTGGTTGTTGTGCTTCTTCTGGGGTTGGGTGGTGCAGTTTGCTGGGTGGTGTTTTCAAGCTTGGTGGGCTGGGGGTGTGGTTTTGGTGTTTGCTTGGTGGGTGGCCTGATACTCGGTTGGTGTGTTGTGGTTTCTTGCTGGTCTGGCGCCGGGGGCATTGTGCTTGTTTATGCTGGTTGTTCTTCCCGGCGGACCTGGTCCCGATGTGGGCTGGGCCTGGCTCGTGGGCTCCTGCTGGGTTGACCGCGGCCGTGGCGTGGTCCTTGGCTTGCTGTGTACGCCGTTGCCCTTGGTGGTGCCTGTACTTCGTGTGTGTGGTCTGCTCGTTTGCCTTGGGTTATCGCGGGGTTGCCGCCCTTAACGTCTGTGTCGGTTGTATAGGGCGGCGGTTTTTTTCCTGCCCTCGCTGTGTTGTTTGCTCCGCCGCGGGCGTTTCTACCGCGCTCTTGGTGCAGTCTGTGTTGGTTTGGTGGGGGGTGGGGGTTTGGGGTGTTTTTTTGGTTCTGCGCCTTAGCGGCCGGTGGCGTAGACTGTTTGCACTTGACCGTCTCCCCCGGCGTTTACGTGTTGCTGCGCTTGGGGGTTAGGAGTCGGTCGGTTTTGGTTCGCTATTGGTGTGGGGTGGGTGAGTTTCGTGGAGAGGCGGGTGGCTCTTTGGGTGAGTGCGGGGGTGGTGTGCACGGGTGGCGTTTCCGGTCTTGTCCCCCACTCCTTGGTGCCCGGCTTTTTGTTCTGTTGTTGGGGTTGTTTGCGTTGTTTGTAGGTTGTTGCGTTTGGGCGGGTTGGTTGGCTCGCTTTTTTTGTGCTCCAGTTTGGGTGGTTTTTGTTGGTGTGTCTTCGTGTTCTTCTGGGGGCTCGTGGGTCTGGTGCGTTTAGTCTTGTTGTTGGGTGGGCCCTGTTTTTGTTGTGTCGCGGTTTT